TTACGTCTGTAGAAGAGAAAGATAGTTGTTTATCTTTCCTAGATATATTGCTTAGTCGACGGCCTAATTGGTCAATAAAACGACCTGTTTATAGAAAACTCACCACAGCTTCTCTCCTGTTCGAGACAAAAGATCCATTATTGTCTGTCTGTTTCCGACATAGAACTTCGCACCAATGTGCGGGAGTTCAAGACCCCACACTCTCTCCTTGTAGCACACAAATCAAGAGAAGAAACTAGAAGAAATGCGTATTAGCGATAGTAAACAGAGGTGTGAGATAAAGGAATAGTAATAACGAAGAACAAAACAGTTTCATAAGTCACAGGGAGTGGATGCTTCTGCACCAGCTATTGAGAACGGTTTTGAGCCATGTCACCAATAGTTTCCAACCATTGGTTTTTACCGTCCCGGAGACCCCAACGAGTCAGGAAGTCTACACCTTCTTACACGGCTTAGACTAACTGTTGTAGATTTCCTTGACTGGTGCCATGTTTTGGTTTGACCGTCGATAGCTCTTTTCCAGCCTGACCAGTCCTATATCAGCTAACATTGTCCGTCGAGGAAGGCGATGACTAGGCATACGTAACACATGTCCTAACCATCTCAGTCTATGTAACTTCACAACCTCATCGATTGATTTCCCCTGCTGACATAGCACTCGACGCCTGACCACAGTACTCCTCACCCTATTAAACCGCTTCACACGAGAGATGGAGCGCAGGCACCTATGATCGAAGACAGCTAATCTTTCCATGTCTTCCACTCTCAATGGCCAGGTCTCACAGCCATAAAGGAGGAAGGAGCGGACTGATAAGCAGTACACTCGCCCTTTGGTCGGTAGCCCTCTGTATCCGTGATGAGATTTCGCCAGAGATCAACCAGTTGGCACTGAATGATGGTACTTCCCAAATAAGTGAAGCGCTCAACCATGTCTACCACTTCATTCCCTATTTCTAATCTAGGAGTCGGTGTACTCCAGTCCTGTAACATCATCTTGCATTTGGCGGGAGCGAATCGCATGCCAAACATTCGTAGATTGCGGCTCAAGGTGTTCAGAAGACGATGTCTGCATTTTGTCAGCGTCCTCGCTTAGAAGGACTATATCTTCTGCATATTCTAATTCAACGAGATTATTCCCTGGTGGTGGCAAGTCAATCTCTGAGTCGCTGAAGTGAGTTAGGGTTAAGTTGAATAGAAATGGGGATGATGGGCATCCTTGACGGACACCATTAGTCGCCACCACTTCAGATGACAACTCGCCGTAGGCTCTCACTTGGCTGCATGAGTTCGAGCAGAGTGAGTGACTTGATCAGTGCAATGTATTTTCTCGGAATTCCCTTTACAGCCAAGCATCGCCAGAGAACCTCTCGGTCGACAGAATCCAATGACGCCTTTAGGTCAAGGAATATAATGATTGTTGGACGCCGGTAGGAATGTCTATGTTCTAGAATCTGTCGGAGGGTGAAGATGTGATCAATACACCCTCTTCCTGGTCTAAAGCCTGCCTGGCTCTCTCGTGTTTGTGCCTCCCAAGCACCACTCAGTCTACGCATACTTATTGAGCCTAGTACTTTAGATACCACCATATTAGTCAAGCTAATCCCCCTCTGATTATCATAGGGAGACAAGTCTCCCTTCTTGTATATCGGGATGATCAGTGACTTACACCAACCCGATGGGACTTCCTGTGATTCTCAGACTCTGCCTAGAACCTCAGTAAATGCAGACAGTAAACTGTCTCCACCGTTCCATCAGGTCCCGCTGCTTTGCCTTGTTTCAGATTGGTGACAGCTTTAGTGACCTCAGTTAGGGACGGAGGAGCTGTGTCTATATCCCATTCAGGTAAATATTGGGTGTTCGGCAGGTTACGCGTGGCTGTAGGACAATTAAGCTGCTCCTCATAGTGCTCTTTCCAGCGTTCCAGTCGTTTATCCTGGGAGCTGATTATGGTGCCATTTTTCTCAGAGATTGTTTCACTTATCATTTGCCTTTTGCCACCTGTTTCCCTGATGAATCTAAATAGTTGTCTGTTGATGCTAATCGCAGATGCCTTTTCCATCTCCACTGTTCACGGTCGTTGCGAAGAATTTTCGTTAGTTTTTGCTTGGGTAGCTTTCACTCCTTATCATAATCGGAGCTCGCCGGAATCAGTTTTCTTCTTCAATCAGTTCGGATGAGGCAGTAGAGATCCAATGGCTTTTACTAGCTTTAGGTTTTAGCTTATAAATAGCCTTCACAGCTGTGTCTACAGCTAACTGCATGTTGTGCCAGGCTACATCAGGGGAAGTCCTGCTGTCGACGTCAGACACTCGTTTCGCTATTTCTTCCTTAAATAAGGACTCAGTGTCTCGATCTAGTTGGAGACGTAACTGTTTCGCTGCCATCAATTTCTTATGCCCATTTAGTCGTAAGCATAAACGTGCGCGAACCAGAGCGTGATCAGAGTCTACACACGTGTTCCAAAAGGAGCGGCAGTCTTCCATTGACCCTCGCCAATGATACCCTATCGCTATGTGGTCTCCCTGAGTCCAGTGTTGATTTGGTGATGTCTCTTTTTGTGCCTAAAGTTAGTGTTGACTAGAAACAGATGATTATCTGAGCAGAACTGCAGAAGACGATCGCCGTTGTCGGTTCGTCGGCAGGGGACTCCATACATATCACCTACATACTTCTCAGTCTGGTACAACTTCCCTACTTTGGCATTGAAGTCGCCTGCTAAAACAACTATATCTAAGCGTTTTGCTGTTTGCAGCAAACTAGACAGTTTCAGGCAGAAGTCATATTTTAGCTCATCCGAACTGCAGTCTGTTGGGGCGTAAGCGGAGACTACGAAAAGGCAACGACGGGTTGCACCGTCTCTCCTTCTTTTAACGGACCCATTCAGACGGATTGCACACATACGACTTCTACTGGGATCCAGTCAAGAAGTGATTTTTCCGCCCTAACACTCAGTGCTATCCCTACACATGCGAGTCCTCGCGAGCTAGCTTAGGGGTCTCCTGACACCCTTAAAGTGAATTTTGCAGACTCCTTTTGTTGACCGAGTGAGGTCAAGTGAATGACCAAACTCGGGTCTTGTATGCGTGTCTCCGAAATACAACATAAATCTATGGCTCGAGATTCCAGAGTTCTTGCTAGAAATGCTTGTTGTCCGATTTGGAAGAGGGTTCTGACGTTAAATGCTCATATATGAAGTTGGTGACGTGGCTTTAAAAGGCTGTCTGGGGTGTTTCTATGGCTTTCACCGTTGTTCGTGGTCACAGAGTGAAGTGAAGACTCATTAGCCTGCAGAATAGTACTAAGTGTAGTAGAGAAGCAAGATGAGAAAAGTGATGTGAGTGAAGGGGAATAATGCTCAAGAAGGCTTCGTGTGCTTTTGGAAGTGTATGGGCGGTTGTTACTTCCCAGCTGCCCAAACCGTGGAAGTTGGTTGCGTGACCACAGAGCCCAGAGGATAACTGCTTGAGGCCGGTCACACGCGGCCTGGTTTTGTTTGTTCTTTTTTGTTTGGTGTGTCTCAGTAGCATATTTATCACTTCTGCCCTGTGACACGGCAGCAGGAAGCGCGGTCGTTGTTAATCCGGGCCCCGACCGATCCGGCATGATATTTTGTGAATTTGTTTGAATCATGGTATTGGATGGGGTAGCTGCTTTTTGTTTAACCGCTATCCAAACAACCTTTCTGGCATGGTAGGACCTCAAGCGACATAAGTCTCAGCCAGTATAGCTTGATTAGGTCATTGCGGTGTTCAAACCCGACCACCACGTCAAGGTAGCAGCTTTCGGTCGGGATCTACTAGTGAGGTGCCCCTTTCCTAAAATTCAACGAATATGCACAGGTGAGAACAGACCATCTAGTTCCGCTGTTGCGATACATTATAGAGACAGGGTATAAAAATTATGTTTACACATGTTTGGAGAGTATTTCTAAAGTTGTGGAAGGCTTAGCCCCCACCTATATGTGTTCAGAAACAGTTCTTTATCAAATTAAACATTCCTTGGTAAACTTCGTTTTGATACCAAAGCAGATGTACTATTACCTCCCTTCTTCGGTTTAGTGATTTCTATTTTATTTTTGATCTTCAGTCTGGCCTTCTAACTTTGTCTATGTCTATTCTTCCCCCCCCCCTAAAGCTTCATTATTTTCACATATATTTCCACCACAAGTACGTCTTTGGTTAGACTATTCGAAATGTGTTACGCAAATACACTACACGATCCACATAAATTATGTTTCCTTAACGCTTTGATGAAATTCATAAATGGAAGTAGTTGTTTCAAATTTATTATCATTTAGTAGATATTCAGAAAGATAAGAACAGAAAATGTTGAGTTTCATGAAATGTGTCACTGAAATAAGCCTAATCACTGTTTGGGCTGCCGATATCCACGCTGAAAATTCCATACTTGTACCAAAAATACAGTGTGGAATGAAGCTGTAATCAAATAAAATAAATTTTAGCATGTCATTTTCACCCTTGATGTGACTGTTGGAGAACCAGTAGTTACTTAGTATTAAAACAACAGATAAACATGGTCAGTACACCAATAAAATGTAGAAATGGGCCTAAATTTCACACAATCGTTTTAAAATCACTCACAGTGTACATAACTGTATACTAAGGACCCTAAATTATGAATTCCATCATTCCGTATGTGCATTCATAACAATATACAGCATTTTCTGGCTAAACAAGATTGCAAACAAGATTACGATGTACATGTAGATTTCTTCTAAAAACTCCTTAGCAATAATCCAATCGACTAATTCAAACACACATTGAGTTACAAGTATAATCCAAAACACAGGATTTGTTTTAAGTAAGAAACTATATCAAACTGTAGTAATTAATGGTAATCGTAGTATTAGTATTTCGAGATGACCGAATTACAACAGTCCAAACAAAACACAGAGAGGGCGGAATTCAGGAATTTGTATTTAGCGGAATTATAATGCAATTCATATATGAAATACTAACAATCAACGGTAAGTATTTAAACAATACAAAGATAGAAATAGTCAATCACCACATCCGCCACACGTTGAATGTCTCCTTGCGTATTTATAATGATATCGCGGTTTGCTTGCCAGTCTCTGCGATCTTCTGACTGATTCTGTGATATCATTTCCATCAGTATCATCTAGACTTTTTTCTGAATTATCTACAAAGTCAGGATTAGTAGCGGAGTCATTATAATCATAATCGGAACGACCTACCTCATTTATTCTCACTTTATCCAAGTGTCTGTTATGAACTGAATTATCTTCGATGTCTAATATCTTCACCATTCGATTTCCCATTCTTTGTAGTATGATACCAATAGAAGGTCTAAAATCATTCCCTCTATAATAATGTACATCAGAAGTCGTGGACATCAAATGCTTCCTGAGAATTCGAGATTTGAATAGTTTTGCAAGACTTTCATGAGTACTTGTATGCTCCGCATTGCGATATTGAAGTAAGAAGTTATCCACACATCTCTCTAGCTCATCAAGATTTTGAGGACTCATTGATGCTATAGCACTCTTTAATGTTCGTACGAAATTTTCTGCCAACCCGTTTGACTGAGGATGACGTGGTGCTGTGTACAAATGACGACAACCTATATGTTTGAGCCAATCATTGAAGTTCTTCTCCGTAAAATGAGTACCATTATCAGTAACTAAGACATCTGGAATTCCTTCTCGACTAAAAATCTTTCTCAACGCTCTGTGAGTGAATTTGGCATTAGGACTATCTGTAATGATGACTTCTGGCCATCTAGAATAAGAATCCACAATAACTAAAGCATAATATGAATTTAAGAATGGACCACAGTAATCTGCATGAATACGCTGCCAAACCTCACAAGATGCAGGCCACGGTGTCCACGATGACTTCCCATAGGACATTTTATGTAAACAGCTAGAACAGCTCTTTGATCTTTTGTTAATGTCAGAATCAATTTCCGGCCACCAGCATGTTAGGCGTGCTAATGATTTCATCTTATCAGCCCCTAGATGAGCAGAATGTAGATCATCCAAAATCGCAGATCTTAATGTTGGAGGAATAATAATTCTGTCATTCAGACATAGAAATCCTTCAGGATGAACTGAAATCTCATCTCTTCGCTTATAAAAGTCTGGAAATCTTCGCTTACACTGAACATTCCAACCTCTTTTTGTTGCATTTATAACGCATCCGTAATATTTCCGAGTATCATTTATAAGTCGAACTCGATCCACCGGTAACGGCTGGACTAATAAGCAATCAGTATCATTAGCAATATTTTCAAATAATGAATAACGAGATAAGAAGTCTGCATGAGGTATATCCTTTGCCGATCTATGTTCAATAGTGTAATCATATGCACTTAGTTCTAAACTCCATCTTTGAACCATAGCAGCAGATGATTTATTCAAAGATTTTTCTGGATTGTAAATGAATTTCAAAGCTTGATGATCAGTAACTATGTGAAACTTAGTACCAAAGAGATACTTGTGCAAGCGTCTTATTGCCCATACAACTGCTAGAGCTTCTTTCTGGGTTTGTGAGTACCCTTGTTCACTCTTACTTAGACGTCTTGAAATACAAATAACAGGTTGTCCATTTTGCTCAAGTACTGCAGCTATACCCATAGGAGAAGCATCTGTAGTGAGAACAGACTTATCTTTCGATGAAAAAGGTCTTAAGAAAGCTTGTTTATTAAGAAACTCCAAAGTTTTTCGCAAGATATTCTCATGTTGTTGTTCCCACTTAAACTGTTTACTGGAGACAATCTCAAAAAGTGGAGATAACCGTTGAGTGAAGTTGGGAATGAATCTGGAGTAAAACTGAAGAGTACCTATCCATGATCTCAACGATGACATATTATTAGGTGACGGTGCTTGAATTAGAGGTGCCAAACGACTAGCATCAGGTCTGAAACCTTCGGAGTCTACTGTGTATCCCAAGCATGATACAGACGACAAAGTGAAATGACATTTAGATGGATTAACAAGAACATTATTCTCACATAAACGCCTGAACAGTTTTAAAAGACGTTCATTATGCAATTCGATATTAGGACCATGAACTATAATGTCGTCTTGGTATGACTCAACACCATCTAATCCATCTATCATCTGATTTATTACATTTTGAAATATTGCAGGTGAAACCTTTAAACCAAAAGGCAAGAACTTATACTTGAACAATCCAAATGGAGTATTAATGGTTGTTAATGCACTAGACGCCTCATCAAGAGGAATTTGCAAATAGGCATCTTTTAGATCTATTTTGGAAAAGTATCTTGAGCCATGTAGCTTGTAGAGAATGTCTTCAGTTTCTAGAGTAGTGCAACTTTGCTGTAGTAGACGACTATTGAGTGTAAGGCGGTAGTCACCACAAATTCTAGGTGTTTTTCCATCAGCCTTTAGTGGCGTAACAATAGGAGTAGCCCAATTTGAAGACTCAACTGGCATAAGTATGCCTTGCTCAACCAACTTGTCTAACTCTTTCTTAACTGCATCTCGCAATCCATATGGAATTAATCGGCGTTTCAGGAAGATAGGATCACCCTCTATTTCAAGATGGATGGGCTGAATCTTCATACCACCTACACTCTTTGAACATTGGAGAAGTAATTCTCTGAACAAAGATTCATCAAACAACTCAGTACAAAGTGAGATTTCGACATTTAACAATCTAAGGGCTTTTAATCCCAATAAAGATGGACCATATTCACTAACAAGAAAGGGAATATTTACAAAATTACCACTGTCTGATTTCAAAGAAATGTTAGTAGCACCGATAAGAGGTAATTTATGACCAGTTATGCCTGTAATTGAACTAGTAGTAGGGTCTATCTGGACATTCTTACAAATCGATTGTAAATCTTTCTTAGAAATTATAGATTCAGTACTCCCAGTATCAATTATAAAACAATGGGACTTGCCTGAACTTGTAGTGAAGGTTCTCATTAGATGAGATTGAGTATTGGGAAAAGTTGAAAGAGACATCGACTGCATTTTACCAGATAAATTGGAAGAATTATCAGGATTCTGAGTAACATAAGTATTCGAACTTCTGCAAACAGTCTTGATGTGTCCAACTTTACCACATTTGTGACACTTAGCACCCCGAAAACGGCAAGTGCTTCGTAGATGTAACTTTCCACAGGAAAAACACGGTTTAATGTTTTTGATCTCTGGCTGCATTCTATTACCTGTGGACGGCAGTTTGGATTGCTTTCCATGACCACTTGTATTTTCGACTTTAGAAAGCATGACATCAGATACTGACGTAGTGGGAGCAGAGTATTCATTATTGACATCTTCATATGTAATACATAAATCTTTAGCAGTTTGAAAGGTACAAGAAGGAATCTGAATTAACTCTTTCTCTAACTTAGGAATATTGATTCCAGCAATTAGACGATCACGTAGTTGAGTATGCAGCTGATCTCCAAAGTTACACTTTGAAGCTTGTATTTGGAGTTGAAGAATAAAGTCTCTAATCTTCTGGTTGGGAGAACGTACCAGTTTGTTGAACTGAGCCCTCTCTCGCGTCTCAAAAGTAGTTATATGGAAGTGATCTATTAGAAGTTCACCAATCTTGACATATGACAGAGAAATGGGTTTATCTGGAAACGACAGAGTCTTCACTAGGCTATATGCATATAGCCCAATAGCAGTAATGAAATGTGCTGGTATTTTGTCATCCCGAACATTGTTTGAAATGCACCACGCATCGAAGCATTCAAAATAATTGGCAATCTCCCGCGGAGAACCATTTATAGGAAATTTTCCCAGGTTATTTAGTTCCATCGCGACGCCAATTTGTAGTAATTAATTGTAATCGTAGTGTTAATATTTCGAGATGACCGAATTACAAGAATCCAAACAAAACACAGAGAGGGCGGAATTCAGCAATTTGTATTTTGTGGAATTATATTTCAATTCATATAAGAAATACTAACAATCAACAGTAAGTATTTAAACAATACAGAGATAGAAATAGTCTATCACCACACACTATCTGTGAACTTTTCAGTGATTGGTTTGCAAACTTTAGTTTAGAAACACATGTGCCTAGTGAAACCGCCCCCTTACTAGCTCTTCCCTTGAAAGCATTGTGTTCACTAATCAGTTAATAGTACAAGCAATTAAAAGCCTTAAACCTTCCACTAGTACGGAACCGGATGGCCTCGCTTCGATAATTTTCAAAAACAGTGGGTGTGATATGCCCCTGTTACTTCTTAAATTCTTCTCAATATCTATGGACACTGACACTTACCCTAGTGAGTGGAAAACTAGCTTCATAATTCCACATTACAAATCTGGTGATAAGGCAAACGTCCGCAATTACAGACCTATAAATATAACCCCAGTTATCTCACGAATCATGGAGAAAGTTGTAAAAGATCAATTGTCAGACTACCTAATTAGGGAAGATCTTGTTACAAGGTCTCAACACGGATTTCTCAAAAATAGATCCTGCGTTACTTGCCACTTCGACTTTTTCAACTGCATCACTAGTAGTCGCGAAGCACGTAAGCTAGTCGTTGTTCTCTACTTCGATATATCTAGGGCATTTGACATGGTATCTCACAGTATTCTCTTTGAGAAGCTGTACTCTTGTGGAATTCGCAACCCATTACTGAACTGGTTAAAATCATTTCTTAGCAATACGGTACAAATAACCAAAGTTGGATCTGTATTGTCTCATCCTAGGCAGATCTCAAGTGGGGTTGTGCAAGGTAGTGTCCTAGGTCCACTTTTATTCACAGTCTACATTAACAGCATTTGCAAGTGCTTCACCTCAGGTAAACCATTCCTATATGCTGACGACCTCAAAGTCGTCTACTCCTGCTAAACTCATGAATTAAGCGATATGGTTACTAAAATACATCTTGAACTAAGTAGCCGTGCAACGTGGTGTGCTGAATCCTGTCTAAGCTTTAACATTGACAAATGCGGCTGGATTTGTATCGGGAACAGTAACCTTGATCTAACTCTTGAAATAAATGGGCGAAAACTAGCCAAGCTCAACTCAGTCGTAGATCTCTGTATTAGATACTCTAGTAACCTAACGTTCGCTGAACAGACTGATTACGCCACTCGTAAAGCACGAAGGCTGATAGCTTGCATAACACGCAATTTCTTTTGTTGTGAAACTAGGGTTTTATTATACAAAGTATATGTCCGACCTATCTTAGAATACTGCACGTTTATTCTTAGCGGACTCAGACAAAATGACAAGCTTAAATTAGAGGGAGTGCAACGGCAGTTTACCTCAAGAACTCTTGGTTTAGAAAGTGGTCTGGAATACCATGAGCGATGCGATAGACTAAGATTAGAGGCATTCTGGAAAAGACGTCTTAAGCTAAACCTTATCTTTTACTATAAGCTAACTAATCTTCTCTTGCATTCCTCCGAGCCAATAACTAAACCTACCGCTGTCATCAGTTACAATCTTAGAAATCATCACAACCTAGCTGCTATGGAGCACTGTCAGACTTACGTGCGGTACAACTTCTTCTTAAATAAGTTTTCAGTCATTTGGAATAGACTACCAGCTAATGTGCGCGATGCAAACACACTTCCAGTGTTCATCTCCTCAGTCACCAGACTGCTCAAAGATGACAATGCACTTCTACGTCTGACTCTTACACCTACTTTTTCACCCTACATAGATATTTTAAGTTCTTTAAACGTGTAGTTACAGCAAACTACAATTATAAATTTTAATATTATTGGAACTAGATGATAAAGATTTCTACACAGGACAGTAATATTAGTCAACACATAATATAAAAGTTAGCATAACGGGACTAGTTAGTTAGTGAACAAAAATAACCTTAGTTACTAGACAGAATATATATGTATATATTTATTAATCACTCCTTAAGGACTCCCGTTGCTTTCTTTTGCGTTGCTGTTGTTTGTCTTCTTTTTTCTCTCACCATTTTAGCTTCCATTTGACTTTTTGAATGAGAATGAATAATGTGGATATTTGACCATTTACAATGACAAATGATCTGCAAACATTATTGGTCCCGTATCTTTCAGTTGCCTGGTTAATAACGAAATAACTTTCTCCACGACGCAACCCGGATTACATTTGTGCAATATACTCTTATACCAATGGAAAAGTATCAATTTGTAATACAACGTCACGATTGTAGCTTATAACATAACTGATCCTATCTGTAAAATAGCTTTCTTATTACCCAATTTGGATATAAATCAAATCAAAAATAAGATTCGGATTTGTACACACCTAAGTTATATTGAGGAATTACTTCAAGCTTTATTTTTTCCCAAGTATTTTTAATCCATCCAAAACATACTTGGGTTTTTTTGTTAATGCGAAGACAATATTCCTATATTTCATGATGTGCTCCATTGAATGACTGGTTATATTGTGGAATAACTTCAAGCTTTATTTTTTCCCAAGTATTTTTAATTCATCCAAAACATACTTGGGTTTTTTTGTTAATGCGAAGACAATA